TTGCTGTAATATTCTTACCAAATATTTACGTGTAGGCTCAAAAGTTCGCCACGAATGGCAATGTATTTACAATGTAAATAAAGTAAACTGATGTAGTTTAACATGTGTGGATTTGAATCAATTATCAATAGTGACTTTAGTCGTTTGAAACTTATTTTTATACTGCATCTTTGTAAATCTGAGGTTTCGGCATAGAGTTCGGTCAAGTAATGATATTTAATAAACGAACAGGCTTTGGAGCTATTTTATTTATAAAATAATCTTTCAGAAATTATCGATATCCCCTTTCCCTCCGCGATGCGCTGCAAGTGTGTAGCCCATGTCATAATTGCCGTAACTTTTTGTTCACACGGAAATATAAAAAAAAGTATTTAGAGAATTAAATAGTTTGGGCTTTAAAAATAATTCAAATATTTTTCGAAAATGGAATTATCAAAAGTTCAACAATAATCAACGGAATATTTAGCTGAGAACAACATTCTTTAGTATTTAATTCCAGGAAACCTTACTTGTACGTGCGATGTTTATGGTTAGGTTGTATAATTCATTCGCTCAAGTCTTATAATCAGTTCTTCTCTGCCTCTGCGGTGAACAATAAATTATGCGGCTTGTTCGATCCCCAAACTCAGAGAGGTTATATCGTTTAGGCGAGGTTTTCCATGCGAGATTCTATAGGCAGCACCTCCACTAACATCCGTTTCACTCCACCATCGTAATATACAACGAAAACCGTAGAATTTATTTAACCACGAGTAGGTGTTGATGTTATTAGTAATGATTTATGGCCGCAATTGATTTTTACATGACAGAATCTCATCCGCTATCCACTGACTCAACACTGATGTCCGCTGTCCACTGACTCATCACTGACGTTAGCAGTCTACGGACTCAACACTGACGCCCGCAATCCACTTACTCAACATTGACGTTAGCAGTCCACTGACTCAACACTGACGTCTGCAGTCCACTGACTCATCACTGACTTTAGCAGTCTACTGACTCAACACTGACGCCCGCAATCCACTTACTCAACATTNCCGGACTGTCCAGTAATGGGAAACTACCCTCAGCAAGTGACAAGCAACAGCATCTTGCAACAGCTGGCCCAAATGAGGGCAAATAGACGGAACACGTCCAACGTTACATCCGACGACGACTCGGAGACGGAGGACGACGAAGGCGGCGCATCAGCGTGACCTTGGACTACGACGTCCTAAACTCATCATAAGGTCATAAGATCATAAGGTCACTGACGTCCACAGTCCAGTGACTCAACACTGACGTCTGCCGTCCGCTGAATCAACACTGACGTTCGAAGTCATCTGCCGACAGCTCCGATATAAGATGACACGTGTCATCGTAGGCACTTCTCGACATAAAAAAGAGTGTCATCAGCAAAGAGCTTGCAGTTCACCTTCAAAGAAAAGGAAATATCATTCAAAGAAATGTTAAAGAAAAGTGGACCGGGAACAGAGCCTTATGGTACTCCAATCGTAATTGATTTCATGGGTGACTTGAACTCGTTCAATGAAAGGCATTGTTCTCTATTTGATAGATATGTCCGAATTAATGAATGAAAATGACCCCTGATAAGATAACGGTTGAGTTTACGTAGGAGAATTTGATGATTTGCGAAATCGACGGCTTTTTGAAATTGAGAATATGAGCAACTCAGTAATTTTTTGCATGGGATGCAATAAGTAGGTCTTGGACTAGTTAGAATATGGCCATAGTCGCGTTAGTGCCCTTAAGAAAACCAAACTGATTATCAGAAATAAGTTAAAATTTGTCGAGAAAAGTTGTGAGTCTATAATGTAGAATTTTTTCGATTATCTTATTAAGAAAATATGAAATAGATATGGGTGAAAGTTGCACATATTATTCGAGTTGCTGGATTTAAGAACTGGCATGGCACGGGTACGTTTCATGACATCAATAGAACTCCAGTAGACATACAGAAATTAAAAATATTTGCTAAAACTGGCGCTACGATGTCAGAAACTTCAAATAATATTAATGACTGAATTTTCGCAACATGAAGCCTCTTGCCTCTGCATAATCTTAACTAACTTTTTATTTTCAATTCAGAAGTAGGAGATAAGAAGCAGGATGCCTCACAAAAAGGAACCCCAAAAGTCGTACCATCTCTCACAGGACCTAAATCTGTTGTTATATCATTGGCAGCAGCAATATATTAATCATTGAATTCTGTAGCCGTATCGGGGCCATACTTAAGCTTGTTATTTTTGAACAATTCCATCTTTTTCAATGCAAGATTCTTCGCAAGTAAGGAGTTAGCAATATTCCATAAACCCTTATAGTCATCCGACTCCTGCTGAATTCTAGTCGAGTAGTACCCCCAGCAGGCATTGGACGTTGAAATAATCTTGATTATTGGTTGGTTTCAGGTTGAAATCTCGAACATCCATAATTAAATGGCATATCAACGTCGAAATATGACCAACACTAGAAGAGACGTAAAACAACCTTTTATCAACGTTGAAATAACGACGATATTGGTACGTTGAGTGCTGACTTAGTTTTAAACGATAAATCAATGTTGATTTCAGGTTTAAATGCTGAACAACAAAAATTAAATTTCAAATCAACACTGAAATGTGACCAACACAAGAAAAAACGTAAAATAACCTTATTTCAACGTTGAAATAGTGTCAATATTGGAACGTTGAATGTTAATTTATTTTCAAACGGTGAATCAATGTTGATTTCAGGTTGAAATGCTGAACAACTAAATTTAAATGTCAAATCAACATCGAAACCTGAAGAACACTAGAAGAAACGCAAAATAACATTATTTCAGCGCTCAAAAATGATCGATATCGGTATATTTAATGTTTAGCCATTTACCAACGTGGAACTAATGTTACCACACCAAAATTGAATGATATACATATATATAAGCATAGGATTAATGGCCAGAGAATGCATCACAATTTTCAATGAGTCGAATAATTCTTTGGCTTTTTTTTATTTCGCATGCACGCGAGCTACCGTGGTCAAGGTGACTAGGGCGTCGCGCTGTCTGCTGCGATCCCGGGTTCGAATCCTGCAACGGTTGAATGGTTATCGAGGCGGAGAATAAAAAAAATTAATAGATAGGGTTGCAAATAGTAAGTCTGTATCTAATTAAATGCAACTTATTTTATTAAGATGCTCATGTAATGAGAAGTCACAATAAAACATGTTAATGAAGAGCGATTACAACGTTGCATTTTAACGTCAATAGAACGCTTCAAGAATAACGTTGCTCTACTTTTCACTCTAAACCTATTTCAACGCGATCCCAACGTTGAAAACAGATTGGTTCTTCAACACTTATTCAACCAGAGAAGTTTACGTTGCAGCAACGCCGCAGTAGAAACATTGATTCAACGTTGCGTTGCAACGTCAGTACGACGTTTCGTGAATGACGTTGCTTAAATTTTCATTATCAATTTCTTTTAACGCGATGCCAACGTCCTAATAGGTAGTTGTTTCAACGTCGATTAAACCTGCGGATGCATGCTAGGCCACCTTTTTAAATGTTTTCAATAGCAAATTCAATACATTCCCATTAGTAGAAAAAGACCAGGCCTACCGAAAATTACAGCAGTGCAAGAAAGCTTTAAAGTTTAAAAGTTTATTCTCCTTCTCGATGACAGACCTTTTTTCGGCGGTTACCCATAGAGACCCATGTTTTCTAACCTTGACAAATTTTATAGGGAATATAGGAAAAGATGCATTGTAAGTTTTGGAAATTTTGGCCATGCAAGACTGCATTGCAAGGTTTGGTTCATCAATATTAGTTAGAAATACAGAAGAAAAATGATTAATTTTTTCCCTAAACTTTTGGATATTCCAGCATTAATAAGGCGAGTTTTTCCTAGGTGGAGCAGCCGAAAACCCAGTTGCAAAATAAAAGAATGTCATCAAGTGATATGAAAAGTCACAGTCAATGACGGCTGATTTTGGGTTCGATACATACAAATTACACGAAACATGATCAAGCAGTGAATAAGGCGTAATGGTATTTTCGAGGGAAATTCTGGTTGATTGAGTTATGAAAGAACGTCATGTTATGAATAAAATTGTTGGTTGAACACAGATTAGGAGGATAGTACAGATTAATATTGAAGTTACGACAAAAACTTGCTGTTTCATATATCCTAATTTTTTATAGAACCTCGAGCGAAAAAAAATTACTGAAATTTTGAACGCTATTAGGAGAAGACCAATAGACCTTCTCCTAATGTAGATAGGTCAAACGCAGGCAAATTAACATATATTCAGCAATTCATATTTATTTTCTACTCAGGTGAACGCTTCAAGTAATCTAGAACTGCATATGTTATAGACATAGGTAGTCATACATCCCCCCTGGCGATTGTAGTATATGCTAAATTTTGAAAACCACGAATAGTGCAATTGATCGGAGTTTGAGCGAAGCCACGTTTCCATTACTGAAATCACTGAAAATTTAAAATCAAAAGCGCTGAGTTGGTCAAAGTTTTTTAGCAGGCTTCTAATAATAACGCGCACACGTGAAAAGGAATTCAATTTTTGAACAATGTCACTCATTCGGTCTGTAAAAGCATGACAGTCGTACATTTTACAATAAATTTATGGAATATCCGCAATCTGATCATCTCTAAGAGAAACACTAGGATAGATTAATTCAACCATTGAGAAATGAGAAAGACGAGCAATAGATAACAATATACAGGGCATTAGGCAGTTGAAATCATCAACGACGCTTCAAATTTAACCTGGTCAGACTCACAGTTGATGAATGAAATCTTCTTACTATTCACTACTAGTCACTATTCTTAGTCTTAGCACAAACTTGACCACGCCATGCATATACTTTCACGATAGACGCATTATATTACATATTTGTCGCACCTCACTAGAATAACAGTATTAATTAAGGAATGCATGTGACGATAGAAACCATGTGCTAAAATAACGTATAATATAAGAATCTGATAAATTCATTTACAGTGATCCTTCTTGTGATTTAACGCTGTTGAAAGTCGAAAAAATCCCAAGATATAAAGCCAACATCATGCAGGAATTTCGCATCCTGGACATCTTCACTGGCCTCTTCACTTCGGTGAGATTGTCGTCAAGTTATGTTTTGTGTTCTGTAAGAGCCATGTGCTCGAAATATGCGGCATGATACTTGTAATTGGCTTCCTGTCAATCGAATGAATTGCTGACACTAGTTGGATTATTGGCACATGCCCCACACTCGATTATATATATCTTTAATGCAGTAGTGGATATAATATTTTCTTAAGCCGAATTGGAATGTTCACTTAATAAAAGCGTCCCTCCAAGTAAATACCAGTCGTGTATCAAACTTGTTTTAGAATTTTCATAATAGATTGTCAAGGAGAGTTTGTTTATATTGCGAAACAGGTTTTACACAAACCGGCTCGAAGTGAGTAAATTCCTCCCTAAGTTATTCATTTTAAATGAGAAAAATAAAATCCACTGAATGGCAACTATGCATAACCGAGCGTAGAACACAATTTTAAACAATTATCATTTCTGTACATTATTTGCGGTGACACTCTCAAACATATTCCTAAAAGAATTGAGAATTTTCAAAAGAATTGAAATGAATAGGCATTCCTAAAAACAATCGCCCAGTTGCGGACGGATAGAATATTGCGTTTTTTTAAGGAGACTAATTTGTCGTGCATGTATTTTTTGACCAACAAATTTCGTGAAAATTCTCTTCATTCATCGCAAATGTGAATTATTTCAGGTGCACTAGAAGTTGATTCAGTTTCGCCTTTACAATTTCCCAGTTTCACTAAATGTCATCTGCTTAATTGACGGTAACTGTTTCTTTCTTCTTCAAAAGTTCCACATATCGTCTTTTAGATCACGCGATTAGTACAATTTTGCCAATAGCATCCTAAATTTGAGTATATTAGAAGGAATATGTTCTCATTTCTTATCATAAAGCCTTATATGCCACAAGTGTTGAGCCTTTTATTTACTTTTATTTATTTTTCCTGATGCTGTTCCCTTGGTTTAATTTTAACTTGTTCTGTGTTGCAGGCGCTGTGCTTTGGACTCTCTATGGCATCGTATCCCGACAGCGTGAGTACCGTGAGCTGCTACAATATATTGTTTGCTCCTTAGATTATCATATGTCCGTAATCACCTAAACGTACACCTAAACGGCCATTTTTTATCCTCGTGAGCTTTATGCATATATAATTTAAACAGCTGCGCTCCAAGTTTCAAAATTCCATATGCATTGTTGTGAAATCAGGAATACATGGCAATCCAAGCTTGATTCAAACAAATGTCCGGTTACCTGAAGTGCAGGTCGCATAAAACTTGAACCCCAATTAATTAATTAATTAAAATTTGAACTCCAATTCACAACGACCCAACTAATTAATAAAAATTTGACCCCAATTCACATAGACATTTTGATCTATATACTCATCGATTTGTCTTGGCAACATCGTTTAACGGGAAATGATGCACGCTAATGATAACAAAAATGGGTTCAATCCTGCACACCGAGCAACATCGGATCCATTGATTACACCTTTAATGCATAGCACTTTTATATCGGGTCAAATTGGATCGGGATCAGACTCGAAACATGAAACAAACAAGCTCAAAAATCCACTAACTCTCATAAAAGAACATATTCAGTTATTTTAGACCCTTCATAGCAATTTGAAGTGAACCGCCCACGTTTGCCACAGGTCAACGTGGTTTCAGGCTCCTCTGGTGCACATGGCTGTGGGGGCGGACGGACTACTTCCGTGCGCTTCAGGTCCCTGCAAGTGCGGGGCCCGAAGTCGATGGTGGTAAGCTAATAAAATACTACACTAATGCTTGCAGCATTTCCGCCTGAAACATGTATTCAGTTTTAAAAGAATTTTTTCTCGTCAAAGTTAAACCATATTTGAAGGCGTTTTCATCCTTTGCTACGACTTTCAGAATATTTTTCCTGATTCTCATACCACTGATAGCTCTTTTACTAGTCTGACTGCCTTTTACTTGAAAATAACTAATAAATTCATCATTCATATGAAATTCTCGGTGATTTGCATGCTTTGTGAGCATTGATAAGTGATTTAACGGTGAGACTATTCCTTGCTTCAGACTTACCTTCGTTTCTCGATCACGGAGAGCGATTTGGCATTCGCCACTAATGCGTCCAAGAAAATCACTGCGTCAGATGTGGTGCAGTGCGCAAGAACGTCAGCCTTGGCAGGTGAGAAATTGCTTTTAATTGGCAGGTGAAAATGCGTACTGCAGGGAAGGAGTCGGTGATTGACACGCTACATTCAACATTCACTTCTTATTAGCGTTTACTTTGTTATTAAGGTTTCACAACGTGGATGGGACTAAAAGTACAACGCTAGCGATAACGGATTTTAAAAGACATTCGGATGCAGTTATAGGATATTAGCAGCCATCTTGTACTATGGTGAAAACGTACCAAGGATACGGGCAAGCATGACCAGTACGAGTGCCGAGTTGATTGATTACTCGACACGTCGTATTCTATCTAAATACCATTTGATAACCAGCTTATTGATCTCTCAGCGCCGACAAGAAATTTCGACTCATTGAACAACAAAAAATTTAATAAAAAGTATGATCTGTTTTTCAGTCAAATTACATATACTATATGATATTTTGCATGTTTCTTGAAAACCCCAATGTTGATTCCATGATATTTAACGATTTAAGTGTAAAGGTGGACACCCCCAAGAGACAAAGACTAGCTAATTATTTTCAGCATTAAATATCAGCTTACAAGATGCATCAACGAGCATAAGTTCACGAGTATACTCAACAAGTAGGAGCATGTAGTGCTTGTAAAATCTTTCTTGAGTTTTAAAGCTCTTGCGAAATAAAAGATTTGCTTGAAATATATTAATCATGGAAATAATCACATTTCAGTGAATCACACAAAAAACTACCAGAAAACGAATTTAACTTTTCCAGGTATGACTGCCTTTGAGTTCAATGGAACATGCATGGCTTACCAATTCAACAGTAAGCCTTGCTCCTGTCATGGCGGCGAGAAAGTCATTTACGTGGCGAATTCCTTCATTTCCTACGGACCTCCTGCAACTGTGCCATTCAGTGAGTCCTTGAGATACTTGTGTGAATGAGCTGTAAAATTAATTGCCAATAAATAAGCTGCGAAATTCGTACTTCACTTGACCAGAATCATATAATAAATATATATAAAAAATATTTTAAAAAACCACGTTTTTCCGATTTTTACAAAACTAAAAACAGTGAAATAACACAAATAAAACAACTTTTAAAAACCACGTTTTTTACGGACAAAAAAGAAAACATTTACTCTTACATAACATTTGAGTTATGTAAAATGTTATGTAATGTTATGTAAGAGGAAATGTTTTTCTTTTTTGTCCGTTAAGAAAACGCGGTTTTTAAAAGTTGTTTTATTTGTTTTATTTCGCTGTTTTTAGTTTTGTAAAAACCAGAAAAACGTGGTTTTTAAAAATATTTTTTATATATATTTATTTTCTACTTTTTAGTTAGCAATTTTAGCAATTCAAATCAATTTCCAGGGTTGGCAAGTGTGGATGTTCGAGAAAAAACTCTATTCCAAACCGTAAATTTTTAGTGTTTTTTTATATTTTTTCAACATTAAAAAAATTTTTAATTATTATTTCTGATGATGAAATCTTGAATTGTTAGGCAGCATAAATATGCATGCCAAATTTCAGCTTACTAGGATGTTTAGAAGTGCTCTAAATTAAGGTCTGAATTTTTGATGACAGACACACACGGAACGAAGTCAAGAAAAAAGTGGTAATAAAATCATGTTACATATTACAAGTTTGATTGGAATAAGAGATGAACTTAGAATTAGGATTTGACTTGTGATACAGAGAATTTGCTTTAAAGTCGATATGTCGGCAATTGAGGTAACCATGAAATATACGCACATGGTGGAATATGGAACGTAACGGTAATGACGAGATTGAGGAAGCGTTTGATGAAGCAGGCAATTTTACCTGCTGAGGACGTGATGAACTATGTAGATCAGCGAAGTGTGGGTGAGAGACCTGATAAGGTATCGTTAAATTTTCAAAACATTGCCTTCTCAATTAATTTCTTTTGGGAGGTTCATCGTGACGCACATTCAAATGTGGAGTTTGAATGGATATGATTAAGTTTCGGGAAAATAAAGGCTAGTAACTCTGAGCCTGTATGGATTCAGATGAACTAATTGCCATCCACACGAGGGAGTTAATGTGCGTGTTCTTACTGGTGTGTATCTTCGTGTATGGTCGGGAGTAAGTGAAGGTGTGCGCATTTAAATGTGAGTGTTGTTTATGCGATACGCTTAACTACCGCTATGGTGATTATTTCAGGACCTCATACGTTCTTAGTCGGATGTTCTTCCTCCTTTTAAGCAAATTTCGCATAGTATAGTAATCCCATAAACATTGGGGTTACCTGCAGATCCAGTGGTGTAGAACGGTTTAGGACCAAAGTATATGAAATAACAATCACTTATAAAAATAGCAAAGAAAAACAATCATACCCAAACTTTTCATGCCACATCTTACCAGAAGCGCGGTAGAATCCCATAAATCACTACCACTGCACGCTAAATGTTTAGCTTCCAGAGTTTGCAGTTAGCAGCGAGCAGGTGTCACCAACGGACAGGTTACCTAGAGATTGTGCTTGTACCAATTCGTAAAACTTATAGGCGCTCATTCCTCATGCCAACCTCAGATCTAACCTCGGATAGTTAATTTTTATTCCCGTTCGTCAAAAAAACACTTCTATTTAACTTGTCTTTTACCCTTGACAGTAAATCGTTGTTTACCTATGTATATCTCAACAGGCACCGCTCCCTACATCAACACCATTGTCAAAAATATCGAATTCAAGCAGTACCAGCTCGTGAATTTCTTCTCGGATGTCTCTTCTAAATTTGTGAAATCATTTGAGGGATATGGTAAGTTGTCGAAAAGTTTGAATTATTTATTACTCGCTTCCATATAGATGGAATAATCTAATCTTTTCTCAACATCGATTTAGCATCACCTACTCCTTGTGGAAATGTCGTTTCTTTACCCCAGTAAAAATTTGAAACAGCTCGAACCCGTGCACCGCACACCAGAGGGGACAGGCAAGGTGTAGGAGTTTATCTTTGTCCCGTTGACATCTTCCACTGAATTTGTGTGAAATGTGACCAATTAATTTACTCATACGCACGTCATTCCATAATCACGATGAATTACAGCTGATCTACACTCTTGCCAAGTGAAGAGTTTAGATCAGCTGGTTTAAAAAATCGAAAATAAAAATTATTGGTGGAGCATCGATGATAATTGGTGACTATAGGTGGAAATTATAGGTGGGGCACCGATGGCGCATTGATGGCGTGTCCGGCCTATGTTCCACCTGTAACGTGCCCATGGCATCTTACCCGAAAAAAACTCTTCTTCCACCAATAACTGCCCATTGGCACAGGTGACACATCGATGAGCCACCGATGGCCACCTTTAAATGAAGCCGATAAAAAATTTTCTTTTTGCTTCACATCCGATGCATTTGCATTTACTGATATTTCTCCAGACAATCATATTCTAAGGACTACGTATGCAAATCCACCCGGGCAGTATAGGTAACAATGTCAGACATGTAGCATGAACATATTCACAGAGTAACATACACATACCTCGTGAGAAATCGACTCGAAGAAGAGTCCCTGCCTGCAGGATTCGAACTCCGGTCTCCATCACGCTAAGCCAAGCCTCTACCGTTGAGCCATTGGAGATGACATTGCAGTCGAGTAATTGTGGAAGATTTAATTGAAGTATTGCAAATATTAATTTCATAAACTGATAGAAGTTGATCTAATGGCTGCTAGAACCATCACCGTGATGATTAATTGGTTCTATCAGCCATTTTATGTCAATATGCTGGTATATTCGAGAAAACAGCCGCTGAGAGATACTTCGCCTCTCCATAACGACGTTGGTTCCGCTTGATAGCGGAGTCTTGATAAGTAGCGAAGTTTCATAATGTGAACATTACACTAATTTTAACAGCAGTTCGATTCGAAATATTTTCAACAAGAATATTCTTGCGTGTTTTAACGAATCATCACTCGATGATTTTGAAATGTTAGGCGCGAAATGCCTTCTTCGCTTCGTGTCACTATTTTTCTCTAGCCTAATGTTTAATATTTTTCGTAGGAAAGATACCGGCAGCACTTAATTAGAAATGTAGATGTAAACTCAGAATAATTAATGATGGTTTAAGAAAATTTCCTCAAATAATGTTCAAAATATCTAGACTTCCTCAAATTTCCTCAAAGTCCATTATCGAAGTCAGCGAGAGAAAACCGAATTTTCACTCGTATCCCTCTGCGTGAAAATGATACTATTTTGGCAAGCAAATTACTCGGAAAACACATATTCCAAGCACGAAGTGTTAAAGATTAATGAGAGAGAAGCTCAGCGACACATCGTGCTCCAACCCAACAGGACAGGTACCTGCTCTCCGTACTTTAGAGATGCCAAGCCGCTGTCGACTACGTTAACGTGGCTTTAGATAAATGCGGCAACTTGAGAATAATAAAATAATTATGAACCACACATAATCGAACCATATAAATTATACTTATGGATATAATTAATTAATCTCAATTGATCACAATATTTCAAGCGCAGCAAGTTGGCGCATACACAAAATAATAAATTTGCGCAATATGTTAGGCAAACATGAAAAATTGGATTTGCCATCATCTTTTGGAAAACTTAATTTTTCGCAACAAGATTTTCCACTGTTCCTCGGAAAATTTATATCAGGAGCATTCCGATACATGTCCAGTTGCTTCACTTTAGCATGAAAATTTCGCGAACACTCTACAACTGTCTGTCAGTTTTACTCGTACACACCGAATTCCCTCTAAATTTTAGCTAAATTTACTCGAATCAAAATCTTATAAGCCAAGCACGCAGAACGAAATCATGGTTTCGTCTGGATTTCGGACAAACCATACCCCAATAACTCCTTTCTACGTTGGATAAATAACAGTGGAAAATTCCTTCGTGCGCTGTGCAGTTTGGGCAAACGATCGGTGGCTTACAAGAGATTTGTCTGCAATGTGCCATCGACGATTCAGATCCTGTAAATTATCGATGATTCATCGACGAATGCCACCTATGCTCGCCACCCTCTCGATTTACTGGCGTTTTATTGTCGATTTTTGGCAGATGTGGCCACCCACCGTTACGCCACCTGTAATCTACCATCGCCAGCCTTATGATGAACATAACAATAGAATAGATTTTTAAGAATTTCTCCATCTTTATAGTTTCGATGAACGTTTTCTGTTGCCGCTCTATGAGTGATACTGATTATCTTGGTGAACAAAATTTTCATAGCTATCGAAAAAATTGATTATTAGTTTTCTCTCATAGGATTTTAAGACGTAAGTTAATTCAAACTTTAAAAACTCAGTAAAATTGCACTTAATGGTAGGTTATTCCAATTGCATTTCTAATAATAATTTTTTTCTTTCCAGTAGTCGACAGTTACCAGCTATTTTACGTCTTCCCTCGAGAAGATGACGATCACAACGCTGTTACTTTCTTCGGTTTGGACATAGATTCTTGCGTCACCGACACCCTGTGCGGGATGCCCGTCCTCGTCAACATAACTCATCTTACTTATTACATACGTGAGCACCAGAGCACATGATTTGTTTACATAGCGAAGAGAACTAATAACCGATGTGTTTGCTAATTTGTTATTATTGCTGCGAAAATTAGAATGAGGTGTCATTAGGAATCCCGTGGAGTTCAAGTAAACTTCGGTAACTTTAGCTTTTGAAAAAAGAGGGTTCAGTGAGCTTCAAGAAAGTTCATTGCCATCATAAGATCTTAAAAATTTACTAAGCAAATAGAAGTATTAATTGCACAGGTTTGGGCTGAAATAAAACATGTTTAACTAGTGGGTTTAACCGTATTTTGCTATTTTGAACTCTATGAATGGAATAGCCGTGAAAGATGACCATACTATATCAGGCAGAAGTGGCCAATCAGAATGGCTCTTTTTCCCAGAGTTGACAATGTATCAAAGACTAAGTTTAGTCGATCGCAAAAAGATCTTACCTCGTCCACTAGACATCAAGTTGGGGCTTGTGTAACAGTTTGTGAAAGCATTAAGAAAAAGAGGAGTATTTCAAGTTTCCTGGTCTATCCAATGCTAAGCTCATAGAGGGAGTCTTTGTTGGGCCTTACATAAGAAATCTTATAAAAAGGAAACCTTCGTCATAGAATTGAAATGGAAGAAAAGAATGCCTGAAATTCATTTAAACTTTGTAGCCCAACAAAATGTTGGGCGACAACTAGTCACGAGTTCATTTATTTACTTACATGTAGACTACTTTCCAGAAAATCTTAGAGCTGTAAGTGAGGAACAACGAGAACAACAAAATATGAGAGAAATGAAGCGCAGATACCAAGGTTGATGGATTGTCATGATGGCAGACTACTCTTGTATGTTAAAAATGAAAAATTCAAATGAACACAGCAAAAAAACATAAAAAATAGCTTTGATGGATAAATGAAGCCATTCTATAAAGACTTAAAAAAGGTTTGCACACATATATGCATCGCTACTATCCATAGTTTAGATAAATATCACTGTGTGTTTTGCTTCTCCTTCAAGTTAAAATAATAAAAATTAATCTGAATTCATTATATTTCGAAATTATTTATAGTCTTACGTGATAGGAAAAAATCAATATCATTTTTGAAATCAGCCCCCATCAACTACATTAAGATCATTCAATAAAATCAAAATATTTTTCTAAAAAGTTGTTTTTATTTGATGACCTGTGTCGTCTGCAAATGTCACCATAACTTATGTACCATGAAACTAAAACAAATGTCTCGAAAATACTAATGGAATCTGGGCGTCTTCTTAATATAACATACATAATAATGTTTTAGTCCACATAATACGTCATGCAAAGTCATAAAAGGTGTGAGCCATTTCAAGAATTCAATTGCGTCAATTCAGGCTCTTCATCTGTTTTTTAGAGTCGAACATAGCGGAGACTTGCGACATGTTTAAATAGGATGTGAAGGAATTTCCCCCGTTGTTATTGTTTTCCAAGCGAGCATGTCTGCAATGTGCGCGTCGCGCTGATACGCAGTTAACGCATTTAACTGTGTATCTTAGATCATATCAGGATATGTGAATAAACCTGACTTTATCTTGTTTTTGGTGTCCTAAGGAACTCCCCAACATGCCTACATGACCTTATTGGTAACAGGGTTACTGATAAATCAAAATGAAAACACCTTATTGCACTACTATCTTAAAATTACCGAATTAAATAATAAACGTAATGTAGACCATTCCATTAAATAAACACTAGTGAACGTGAACACTTTAATTCTTAGCTTCATCTTCCTATGCTTCACTGCTTTAACTGATATATGAACTTAAATCTTGAAATCAGAGTTTCGAAGTTTTACTCCGCTCAGGCTTTACACAGCACAATAATCATCTAACCTTGGCCTTCCGCACTTTTATTTCGTTGAACTGATGAACTCTGAACCAAAATGACAATACTAAATTTAGAATAATAGCCGAAAGCCTAAACTGTCTCATCGTCAATGATCAACTATCCCTATCCCTCACCCTGTGATGTTGACCTGTTACCTGGTTGATAATTTTTCAGTTGCTGCAAGTTTATCGTATTAACTTCATTTTACAGTAAACGAATGCGGCAACACCATCCAACTCCCGCCTCAAAATAGCGAAACATTCATTGCGGTGTTCTCACATCCCGGGTTTGGATGCAAGGCTTTCCCCGACGGGCCGACCTACAACTGCAGCGTCACTTTCATCGCAGCTACTTTACGGGACTTTTACTATTATGGTTCTTTCTTTGGCACTAATGGGTCCTGCGACGGCTACACGCTGGGCCTTGAAAGAATCTACTCCGGTATTTCAGAAAACGTCAATTTGTGCACTGATAAATGGGTAAGTGATAGGAAGCGCTGTACCGTCTATTCATAATACAATACAACGATTGAGTTCTTCGAACATTTCATTTCCTCGCAATCTCAATGAAGATTTATGTGCAAGTTATTTGTAATCGCATTGAGCCTTTATCTTTCTGTGTAATTACTCAACATTAGTCCCAGCCAAACATTCACTCTAATTTAATCATAAATCGCAAAAATTTGAATAGGTTATCTATATTCGATATTCGCATTTGAAAGTTATTTTTCTCAGTTCCCTGCCACTTGCACTCTATTGTAGGGCTGCATTAGTTTATACATCTTTTTTGTCTAATAACTTGATCGTTATCACCTGCTGACTCCTCTACTATTCGTCTTGCATTACCGTTCTAATTCAAATCTCATTCATTATATATAAGAACTAAATCATAAAATTATTTCTCACATTAGTGGTCTTGAAAAAATAAGTCACTTGAACATTTATGATCACTCTGAGGGTCAGTGTTCAGTCTTACAATAATATTGCCTCCTAAAATGATTTTGATTTTCAGAACGGAAACATCGCTACTGCAACTTTCATTCTCCGAGGCACGGCGGCGGCGAAGATGTTCAAAGCGGGGTTCACCGTTTTTATGCCATAGGCGATGAGACTGGCAGCCTAGCCCTTTATGCCCTGGCGTGACGAATTCGTCACACAGAAAAAAACTTCGGTTTTCCAACAATTTCACGTTTCCTGTCATTTTTTCGCAAAATTCACAGGAATGAAAAAAGTCTTAGATTTATTTTTTACATATGTGTACCAAGTTTCAAAGTTATCTGTCGTTAAGTAACCGAAATAAGATTTCCAATTTCCAATGGCAATGTCCAATTTCTTATGGAAATTCTATTTCGGTTAATTACTGACAGATAACTTTGAAACTTGGTACACATATGTAAAAATAAATCTAAGACTTTTTTGTTCGTGGGAATTTTTCCGAAAAAGTGAAAGAAAACGTGAAATTCTTAGAAAACTGACAAAAAGGGGGTACTGTAGAAATCTATCACCTCCTATGATTTTTGAGCTACAACATCGAGACGCATATCATTCGATGCGTAAGGACCATATCTGNTAGCTGTGTGAAGTGGTGATGCCACGCACGAGTGCTGTTACTTTAGCTGTGTGAAGTGGTGTTGCCACGCACGAGTGCTGTTACTTTAGCTGTGTGAAGTGGTGTTGCCACGCACGAGTGCTGTTACTTTATCTGGGCGTAGTAGTGATGCCAAGCATCTTTGCTGTTGCTACAGCTGTATCAAGAACTTCTTTCGACTTTGTGCAGCTCAGAATTCACATTTTTGCACAATAATATAACTGTTCAGACGCTGAGACCGTGCCATTAAACCTTTCGTTGCCACAACCTTAGTAAATCTGTCAGGAGAATCAAATCGACTATGGCAGAGGAATGAAGAACACATAATTAGAATTTTCTTTTTGTCGAGGATATAAAACCGGTGCTCGCTGAATTGACCAGATCTGCATCATTTGTTCTTCAATTGTATAAATACTTCTAAAATTTACTGCAATTCTAGCCCTGTCTGTGTTTAAAATTGGGTCGTGTTATGGATAGGTTAGAATTCATGTGTTTTATCTTTGTATTTGCGTGCTGCTAATGAAACTGAATGTACACATTGAAGCTCCGAAATTTATCTTTTAATCTGTCATAATAACTTCCGTCGCTTGCTGAATTCTCGACCCTGCAATGCCCAGTTGTACGGCTAAACACTCAATCATAATTGGGGCATCTTTGCGGCAAAAACGGGGGATCAGCCGGGGCATTACTTATGTACTAATATTCCAACACATTCTGTTAGTTTTCTCAGTTGTTTTCGGTCTCAGATTTGATTCACCCCTAGTAAATGTGTTGCATTCACACGTTGTTTCTATCGCCTACTTTAACGTTAAGCTCCTCAATAAGCCGTGGCGTCATCGTCAAGTGGGCGTTAATGTCGTCACTTCACCTCAACACGGACACCTAACTTGTCCTGATTAACAACGAACGTGACACTAAATAACCAAGAAGAAAACTGCCGTGTTAGCACCTATTGCGTTGGTTTGGTGACATGTTACTTTAGGTTCAGCACTATATGATAGAGTCGAAATTAGGTGTCTTGGACTGAATTCGAGGCTACCTAAATCTTCTCTTTTCAGCCAAGTAACGGTGAACCCAAGGACAGTAAGTAAGACATTCTTGATACTCCAGGTTTACTGCCGGAAAGTTCGAGCGGAAGTAGAACTGGGCGGATGGTTCTGGTTCTGAGAGAAGGCTGAGCGCTGTAAACCCTAAACTCCAATAGTTTAACTCGCGCGACGCGACATTAGGTGTTATACACTGACATTAAAATGACAGTTTTACACTAACACGTACACTAACATTAAATCCTAATGACAGTTTTGGTACCCAAAACCATATTCTTTGACTTTTAGGCGTTAAGAGGTCGGAACATATTTGTTTTGTGGGTATACAACAAATGAAATAAAAGTTTTGTGGCCCCAAAATCCCTAATATCCTCAAATTTTTCGATATTTTCGCTTTAACTCGGATTAATATATTTTTGAATATATTAATCGATACTCATTCAAAAGATCAACAATTTTGCTGGAAATCAAATGTCGAGTTTCCTCTACCAAAATTAAATAGCACACATGGATTATATGAAATACAACCTGAAAATAAAAAATAATAGAAATAATTATTCAACTGTATGAGCTGTCAAATTTTAGGGAATGTCTTCATTTTCTCGCCAGTCCTGATAACGATCTCGTTCATATAAGAACAATTACTCCTCAATTGAATATATCAGTATTAATAATTCAGTCTCGTTAAAAAACGTCTAGGATATCATAGAGAGGCTGCATATATTGTAACTTTTTATCAATATTATTGATGAAGAAACTATACAATAAAAAGTGTTAGGAGCATCATACATACATTACATCATACATACATTACATCATACATTACATATATTACATCATAAAATTTAGGAGCATCATACATTACAGGGATTCAATTTCTTTTCTTACTGCATCAAGTTCTCTTATAACATAACATAACATAACATAGTGATGTCGGCGCTGAAGTGTAAGCCTGATGTGGCCTGTCGCCGATTCTTTTACATTTCGTGCCTTGTTCATAGATCTAAACTCGTGTCATTTGACCGGATCTTTTCATGACTGGCGATAGTTTGAAGTAGCTACTAGACTTCCACCGGGTTCGATAAGGAGCTAGGCCTGTCTCTTATACACATCTAGATGTGTATAAGAGACAGTAGTCTGTTCTTGAACGCGTTCATACTTGGAGCGNCGTACGTGAGCACCAGGGCGCATTGTTTTGATTACATGACGATTACAGCCAATAACCGAGCTGTTGGTTGACGTGGAATAATTGCAGCAAAAATTATAAAGGCATAAATTCATATGTCATTCAAGAATCCCGTGTACTTCTTCAACTAAACTTCAGTGAGAAAATCAATCCTTCTCTATCACAATACCTTAAAGATTCGCCTAGCAATTAAATGTATTAATTTTCAGCAAATGTCACCATAACTTATGCAACACGACGTTAAAGCAAATGTCACTAAAATAATAATGTAATTTGGGTCACTACTTGCAACGTAGTATGCTATGCAGAAGACATAAGGGATGAAAGCCACTATAGTTTATCACAGTCCCACAAGTTTATCAAAATTACTATTCACTGTACATGTTGCTATATAGGCTTCTTATCGAAACGCTTCCATGAATAGTATTAAATCTTGGCAACTTGCAAAAGTATGTTTTTTTTCCACTGGCATATGCCCAAGGACTCATTGATCACTGGCCAATGTTGTTTCCCAGCTTTTTGGCGCAACTGCTGAAATAAGTTCTAGTTTTACAAGAAATACAAATACTTTGTTATGGATTGAAAGTCATCAAGTTTGTACTATTTATTATGGCCAACGGACTCACCGTGAGACATATACGTACTGCCCTATGAAAACGTTTCAGGACGACAAAATAAAAATACAAGGTATTAAAAGCGAACTGCTAGAATTGGTCTGTTTAATTAATGGTAACTTTTTATTGTCATGTCAATTGCAGAGATAACTGCCCAAAGGCCATGTTACTATACAACCCTCATAACATGAACATCTTTTTTCTAAGTTGCATTGAATAATAATAAATAACGTGTTAGTCGCATATAAGAAGTTTCGTTTTCTCGTATATATGATGTGCGCATGAAGGACAAAAACGCTCAAATAATGTTAGCAATAGCTTCTTCATTATGATGGCTCGATGGAAAATCATCCAAGTGGAACTTACTAGGAAACGCGAGCATACTCTGAGACCTGTCTCTTATACACATCTAGATGTGTATAAGAGACAGATTACTTACATGTAAACTACGTCAGCACAACAAAATGATAATACATCGTGCATTATCACTCAAGTTCACTCAAGTAATGCACATCAAATAAAGACCTAAGAACGCAAATTAAATAAACTAAATGTAAGTTAAATTAAAACGTTTGTGAACAAGACTATTACATTGTGTTCTACTAATCGGAAACTAATGCTATGTTTTCTTTTCTTTCTCTTCCTAACTTTCTTGCCACGAGATATGAAGAAAGAAGTTCATCAGAAGCCAGAAGTTGGAAGAAAAACTTCTAATAATTAAGGAGTTTCCTAGTTGCTAATTCTGCTAATAGTAGTTAATTGCCATATGCTAATATCATGAATTAGCTAAAATCTTACAATGTAAGTCGTTTTGAGCCTTGTTCCAAAAATTTAATGTAACGTAATAATAGTGCCATAACGGATATTGTTAACGTTCTTCTTGTTAGCATTATTGAAGCGAGGACGCTCCATCCCATGAAGGGGGAACGTATCAGGTATTGCTTGACAGTCGCCTTCAGTGACTAATTATCTTTCATACGTCACCCTCAGTGACGCTTTAAAGGATAGTACGTCTTGTCATACGTAGCTTGCGATTCTACGCGGTGGACCGCGATAGCTCTTTAAGACTGACGAGTCTGTTGGAGGAGAGACCTCCGAGCGTCCACAACTTAGTCCTACGCTCCGGCCCTCGATATGCTTCTCTATCGAGCAGGCCGATTCTTTCCCTCTCTGAGATTGTATACCTCATAGTGCCTATTGTAAAGTCTTTAGCAAGTAAACTGTTCTGTATTAATTAGACTTTCACTCCTGTTATAGCCAAACAATAGGCTGTTTCCGAACCTTCAGGTCTTAATCAAATATAAACAATAACCAAGCCACCCAGAAAAAGTGGACTTGGACATTATATTGTTATCTTATTAAATGTAAGCTTATTTCAACACCGCTTTAGTAACACCTACTCTTGTGAAGGCGTAATTTCTTTGCCCCGGTTAAAATTTGAAGCAGCGTTTGAACTATGCCGGTACCGCAGGGGGTGAGCAAGTATGCAGAATTTGTTTGAAATGTGACACACTGTTATACTCGTACACACGTCATTCCTATAACTTGCAAGCAGATAGGGAGTTAATCTATGCTCTTTCCGAATGTAAATTATGACATGGGAACTGTTAAGAATAGTACGACTCACTTTACCTAAGCTTTATTTAAATGACTGATTGATGGGATCTCTGAACTGGCACTGAT